CTGATGGGAGGGAGCAGGGCAGCCATGAGAGTAAAGTGGTCTAAGTCTGCGGGTGGGAGGCAGCCACTGGGGTGAGTATGGGAAACCTGGCCCAAACTAAAGAGGCAGAGGTGGGGGTGCCGAGAGCAGCATTCGACACCCCCTCCCCAGGCTCCTCCCACTTCAGGAGGCCCCTGGAAAGTGCAGGAAAACTTACAAGTGGGACTCACACACCCAATCCAGTGAAAGCCTCACTCTGTCATCACCTGGGCAGAGCCACGGGCTGGGGGAGGGGCAGAGAGGGGACAGGGCTTGAGGGGACCCTAAGCAGGGCTCTGCGGACAGGGAGTCCTGGCCCTCTGCCGGTGGCGCTGTAGGCTGCACCATGAGGGGAGTCCCTTTTCTAGGGGATGCTCACGGCATGAACTGCCACCCTTCTCCCCACAACACACCTCGATTGTCCTTCTCTGCTTCCTTCTCAGCCTGGGTTCCTGGAGGGAACTGAGCTCCTCTGCTCTGAGCCATCCGTTGTATGAACCTCTCCCTGTATATTTAGAAGTTCTGTGCCATCCTCGGGAGAAGTGGGGAAAAAGTGCTATTCAAACTGTTTCCTATAGGGTCTCTCTCCTGGAACTCCAGCTGAGAAAACTGTCTCCCCTGAGGTTACTGTGGACACAGTTTAACAGCCCCAGCTAGGGTGGATGTGATTAATGCGTCTTAAGAAAGACACCGCCTCTAACGAAACACAGGTCAGGGGTCAGGGGTCAGGGTTGGGACAGTGTTTACCTACACTGGAGGCTGACAGCAGGGAGGACCAAGCAGGGAAACAAAAGCGTCCTGACAGACAAGTGTTTAAATCTGTCACTATTATGTGACTTTGAGCAAGGTACTTAAATCTCTGACATCTTGACTATCTCATAATAGTTAGTTATAACAGTATCAAATTACTCTAAAACTTAGTGGCTTAAAACACCACACATATATTATTTCCTAATTTCCACGGGTCCAGAATCTGGGCACAGCTTAGCCAAGTCCTCTGTTTTAGCATCTTTCCCGAAGCTACTGTCAAGGTGCTGGCCAGAGTAGAAATCATCTCCAGGGTCCACTGGGACAAGATCCACATGCAGCTGCTGTCAGGGCTCCACTCCTTGTGGGCGGGTGGCTGATGGTCTCAGTCCCTGATTGGTCGTGGGATGCAATCAATCTCCGCTCAGTTCCTGGACAGGTGTCCCTCCCTGTTAGAGCGCGCACACCAGCAGGTCAGATGCCACAGTCTTCTGTGACCTCCTCACAGAAGCGACATCCATCTTTGTTGCTGAGTTCTCTTGGTTAGGCATCCCTAGGTCCAGCCCATGCTCCAGGGAAAGGGGTTACACAAGGGTCTGAATTCCAGGTGGGGATCACGAGGGCCAGACAGGAGCTGCCTGCCACACTGCTCTAGAGCGGGGCTAACACCCGCCTTGCAGTGTTCGGATTCACAAGTATCCAGTAAAGAGCAGCCTTCACCACGTGGCAGGTGCTCAGTTCACGTCCACCCCCTCCCCTGGTGTGCTCTCTGAGCTGTCTTCTCTCGTGGATGGAGGATCTGTTCACCCCAGTGCCCTCTCCTCTTTGCAGTGTTAGATGCCGTCATGCTACTTCGCTTTGTGATGGGTGAAACTAGACCTGCCCAGGAGCCTCTCCAGCCAGGGCCTGTGTTCAGCTACCTCAGGCTCTTTTCAGCTTTCCCTTATCTGTAACTCCTGACTATTCCAGGAAGGGGGTGTGACTGTCCTCTTCATGGTGTATGGATTCTACATTTGGACCATCATGACTTTCAAACAAAAGCGTATCAGTTCATTCTGAAGGAGCTGTAGAAAGAGTTGGTTCGTATTTGTGTACGTGTTGGGGAGACAACATTGATGTGCAATCAGAGGGTTCATTTGTTTTGTCTTCTGCTGTCTCCCAGGGGCTCCCAACTAGCAGCAGTCACAAGTCCGTGTAGTGGACGTGGGCAACCAGCAGCCATTCAAGTATCTCCTCTTCCCACAGCCATTGGGGGGCGAAGCCCAGTTACAGCCCCCCCGAGGTGAGACCTGTTTAGCCTAAGTCTGCCATGGTGGTCCCAATCTCCTTCCCACTGGTTAGTTTGGGCATGTTCACGTAGCCCAGTTTTCCCAGTGGAGAGTGAGGGGAATTGTGCTGGTGGGTTTCTGGGAAGTTTCCTGATGCTGGAGAACAAAGAGGTCGCCTTCTCAAGTGGCTGGTGTCATCTCTGATGACTGCGGCAGCCAAGGGAGGATCCTGAGGGGAGCGATACGGGGACAAAGCTCACATCCTGAGGCCAGCAGAGCAGAAAGCTGGAGGGAATCTGGGTCCTTGATGGTATCGGTGAGCTGCTGCATTTCTGGAGCCTGGAAACTGCCCAACCTTGGGACTTCTGTGAGATAACAAATTTCCCTTAGTGTTTAAGCTATTGGTCTCCAAAGCAAGCAAGAGGGTCCACAGAGATGCAGGAAGAAAATATGAATTATATGTGTTTTTAAGAGTAAAGAAGCTTTACCGATATTTAATATACCCAGTGCACGTGTAGATGATCCAGCAGCACGCAAAAAACCCATGAGGTATCCTGAAATGAGCAGTGGGACTCGACAAGGCTTGAGGGGGTTGACAACAGCACCATTCTCTTCCAGAAAATTGTAGTTTGTACGCCCCCACAAGGCAACTGGACTTAGATTTCATCTCACGTGAGAGCATCTTTACAATATTTTATGAGATGGAGAAATTCAAATCCCAAAACCGGTTTGCTGGCTATCCCATAGCAACATTCTTAAAAATATTGTGAATATTAAGGATGTTATGTATTTTTTACTTATAAAAAGACAAATGTTTGCAATTTGCCAACCTCTCTTGTGGTGACAAGAGCCTGTCAGTAATATGGAATCAAGAAGGCATTTCAGAAAAACAGAAAAGGTTTTATCTGACCGTTCAAGGTAAAGATAATATACTAACAATGAGTAGGATGGTGGCTATTTTTCCTAAAGGAATTCATTATTAAGAGCATTTTGAAACTGGTTAGACATGTTTCCGGTTTTACAACAATGTGTTGCCAAAAACTGTCACCTATAAAAACTCTCATAAAGTGCACTCTTGGGAACTAAAACCCCAAAGTGAGTTTCGGGAGGTTTTGAACCTATTTGTTAACAATAAAAATAATCACACTTGAAATTACTGAGCAGGTACAAGTTAGTGTCAGTGAGAAAGATGGACGTTTATTGCAAAGATTTCAACACACTTTTTTTTTTAAGATGAGTAGATAGAACTTAAAACTGAGTATTGTTTTTCAGAAAACACAGTCATCCGATTCACAGATCTTACTAAAGTGGCCTTTTCAGCTACAACAGCCATTAAAACCCAGCATTACAATAAACTTACCTTAGAATCAGACATTTAAGTTGTGTTTATCATAAAGTGTTCAAACTAGGAGTTTCAAAAATAATGAAGCATTTTTAACCATGTGGCTCTCACTGTATTTTTTTAGAAAGAGCAAAAGGTTGGTTTTTGTTTTTACCACAATACACACAAAATACATTTTAAAATGTTTTCACCTCCTCTTTTTTCTTTTCTGTTTTTTTGTCTTACATGGATTAGTATAGTGTATAGACATTAAGTTAAAGATATACACGTATATACAAATGCCCAGGGGTGGTGCCCTGTTGAGTGCAGTCAGGTGACTGGTCTACACAGGGTTCTGTTTCAGGCTACTGCTTACATCCTTCCAACGAACTTCTCCCACTTCAAGAAAATATTCACTGTATTCTAGTTTTCATAACTTCTTTTGTCATTTTGAGGCCATCTTGAATTTTTTTGGTGAATGGTATGACAGGAATCAATTGACTTTTCTCCAGTTATATCTGCACCTTTCATTGAATAATTCATCATGGTCAGAATCATTTCAGAAAGCCACCTTTAACGTACTCAAAATTCTTGAAAGCATTTGAGTCTATTTTAAACGATCTTCCATTAACTTGTCTATTTTTATACCAGTGTAAAAACTGCACATTTTTGAAGTGCTTTTTGGTACAAGTTCCTCTTCTTCCTCCTCCCACCCCCTTTCAATGAACATTTTTCCATTTTTGTCTGCTTATACCTCCATACGAACTTTTAACTTATATTTAAAATATTCTTTGGCATTTGGATTGACTTTATGCTGAATTTAGATACTAACTCAAGAACCAGTATGTTTACAGTGGTCAAAATATTCCCATTGTTAACTGCTTATAAGCCCCTTTATTCCCTTTCACCCCACCCCCAAGGAAATCACACTCTTGAATGTTAACAATTCTTTTCTTTACAGTTTTACTACTTATGAATCCCCAAACAATACAGTTTTTCCTGGTTGTGAACTTTATATAAATGTCCCCAGGCTGACCGCTTCTGACTTGCTTCTTTAACTCAACACGACTTCCGAGATGCATCCATGTTGATGTACAAAGCTCTGCACTGCACTTCGGGCTCTACAGAATTCCTCTGTGCAGGTGTACTTCGTTTATTCACTTTACTGTAGATGAGCAGCTGGCTCTCCTGCTCTCCTTTTTGGTTATTACAAATAATGCTGTTGTGACCATTCCTGTACATGCTCCCCGGGTGTAGACATCTACACAGGAGTTTCTCTAAGCGTAAATCCTGGGCTATAAGATACACCTGTGCAACTTCACTAGCCGACACTGTTTTCCGAAGTGGTAGCACTGACTTCCACACCAAGAGTAGCAGATGAGAGTTGTGGTGCCATCATCTCTCCAACTGTTGGTATCTTCTGACTTTTTAATTGTTGCTAATTTGGTGGCTAGGAAATGGTATTTCTTTATGATTTCAATGAGCATTTCCTGATGACTAATAATGTTGGACATTTTTTCGTGTGTATGGACCACTTCTGATTCTTCTCTGTGATATGCCTACTTAGACTTTTTGCCCATTTGTTTTTTGTTACTGATTTGCATTCAGGTGCTTTTTTTTAGCAGTTTATGTATATATTGTGGTTATCTGTGTCTTGTTCCAGTTGGGGCTTATTGTTCACCCTAGGGCATGTTTGGTAAACAAAAAAGTATTTACTATTAATGCAGCCAATTTTTTTTTTATCTTTTCACTAATGGTTTGCCCTTTCCATCTTGTTGACAAAATCCTACCCTTCCCCAAAGTCATAAAAATATTCTTCTATATTGTCTTCTAAGCTTTGTAGTTTTAAATTTAATCTAGTAAATCTCCAATCCACTTGAGACTGATTTTTGTGCCTGGTGCAAGGTAGAAGTCCAATTTTTTTTCCCCCTTGGGAAGAATTACTGAAGCCCCACTTACTAAATAATCCGTCCTCCCCCACTAACAGATCTGCAATGATTACTTCCTGTACACGAGTGGGTCAGTTTCCAAGCTGATCTTTTTATTCTTGTCCATTCACCTGTTTATAACCTCTGTGCCAATTCCGCCTTGTTTTAATCATGTATTCACAGTAAGTTTTATACTCTGGTAGTGCTAGTTCCCCTCGCACCTGATTCTTTTTTAGGAATGTCTTCTATATATCCTTGACCCTTCGCTCTCCCATTTATATGTGAGGATCAGCTTGTCAAGCACCACAATGAAAGCCATTGGGACTTTTTTGTTGGAACTGCCTGACTCTTAGGAAATTTGGAAGGAAGAGTTTGAGACCTAGATGATCTATGTATATATCACAGTCTCTCCATTTATTTGGGTCAACAAATGTGCTTTTTAAAATTATCGTTTTTCTCATTAAAAGGCTTATATACCTTTAAGATTTTTAGGTACTTTATAATTTTTTTGTCCCTACTGTAAATTCTGTTTCTTAATTACATTTAAAAAACTTAAAAGCCATTACTGCTTGTGGCTACTGTGACATGTAATTGGTATTTGCATATTGATTTGGTTCCAGCAACTTTGATTAACTCATAATTCTAATCTGCCTTGTAGATTCTTTGGATTTTCATAGACAATGTCATCACACAACGTGAATCCATTAATAGATGAGTCACATTAATTGATTTCCTAATATTAACCAATTTGCATTCCTGAGATAAATCCAATTTGGCCATCATTTGTTATACTTTAAATACTTTAGACTTGGCTTACAAAAAATGCTTTAAAATGCTTTCCTTATTGATGAGTGCAAAGGGATATATATGTCTATCAGATCAGATTTATTAACTGTGCTATTTAAATCTTTTATGCCCTTAGTGATCATAATGGTTATGTCTTCTGGATGACCTGCTAATTAATGAAGAAAGTGCACTGAAAATGCTTATTATATTAGTAGCTTAACCTATTTCTCCTTGTAGTTGTGGCCTTTTCTTTCTAAATCTTAAGGTATATTACTGGTCACTTAGGTGTGTAATTTAAAAGTTCAGAATTGTTATATCCTTCTGGCCAATTAAGTTCAATGTCATGTGTAGAGGGGAAGGAAAAGGGCTTAGTGTTAAAATGGGGAAACTGAGGTTCAGGAAAAAAACCTACCCAAGAACATACAACTAGCTGAGACTTACTTACACTTGTGCTCTCAGATTCTATGTACAATATTCTTTCTCCGATGCCATGTTCTTTGAAATTCAAAATGCTTTAGAATTCTGGATTACTGAGGAATAAGACAATAGAGGAGATAAACACACATAAAGAACCGGCTCTAGTAGAACATTTTCACTCAACTTTTTTAAAAAGTTGCTAAGGGGGAGGATTTAAATAGCTCTCTACTTGACTGGAAAAAAAAGCTGAAGAAGAAAAAATCAGTGATTCAAATGCAGAGAAAAAGAAAAGCTGAAGTTATCAAATCCTACTGTGTGTGGTAATCAAAGAGCGGACATTACAATACAGCTCAGGTTACAAAGAAGAGGATGAGAACTGGCACCCTCAGAACACCTGTAAAGAGAGAGCAAGAGAAACTAAAATTGTGAAGTTAAGACTTTAAAAATCTAGGGGATACTACTAATTGCATATCAAGGAAAACAAAAAGTAATTTTTAAAAAGCACAGTATAATCAATGCAAAAAAGCCCCCAAATCATAAAGTTTTGATTAAAGGTCCATAATGTACCAGAAAACCTACGTATGTTCACATGTCTATATGCTATACATGTAAATAGAGTATGTCGCCACAGGTATAAGGCACACAGTTTCTCACTGGTACAGAGGTCAAGATGGACACTGACCCTGCAGGCTAATTAACTGTGACAGGACATGGACAGAGTGTGGTCATCATTTAGGAGGCATTATGAACGTCCTGTAAGCAAAACCGTACGTTCTGTATTGTAACAAAGTACCAGTAAACCAGGTATCAACATAACAAGGCCAAGGACATCTGTACAAGATTTATTTCATTAACCACAATGTTCGAGTGATGGTATATACCCGATACAGAAGGAGTGATTCAAATCCATCAAGGGTTAAAGATCAGAGCCAAAGTCAGTGGCTTTGAATTCCCAGTCAATAAGAGTTTCATCCACCATTTTGTTTTTCTTGGAGTAACAAGAGTTGATGTACAAAACACCCTGTTTGAAGCTCCACCATTCTCTCTAACAAACAAGCACCACCAGGGACTAGACTTCATTGCTTCACTTCATCCTTGCTCTGGCCATGCTGGTGGGTGGCAGAAGCCTCTTGCCTGCATTTGATCTCCATTTATTCATAAGCATTCCTGTCTCCAGCCATAGCTCCCCCCAACAGCACATCTCAATAATTTCTCCTGAATTGCATGGCTGTCATATTGACAAACAGGACTAATGAGAGCAATTAAGTTGCCATCTGTTTAACAAAACATACCCTTCTAAGAGAACATCCACAGTCTTATTGCATTAGTACAGTCACAACATTGACATGTAAGAATCAATACAAAATATTTATTTTCTTCAAACCACAGAATTCACCCCAGAGCCACATTATAAATTTCCCAGAATTGTAAGCCATTAACATTCTTCTAAACAATGCAGTCCAACCAGAAATGAACATAATGTCCAATCAGCAGGGGTACAATATATACTCGGGTCCTGTAAGAATGTACCTCTGATTAGCATTTCCTTTAATTCTCCCACAGCCACTCCACCAACATAAGCAGAAAAAGTGTATGTACTTGTACCACTCGGCTCTGGAAAGAGTTTCAAAACAGGGTCTTGGCCAGTGGAGATGGGAAAGTGTCCATGACTTAGTTAATAACCAGTGGGGCCAGAAGAGGAATCATTTCCTTTGAAAAGAACAAGAGTCCTTTCTTATATCCTGGTGGCCAGAAACTGGGGCAAATGTCAACAGGGTAATGAAAGTAATAGTAAAGCCACTTCTCCATGGACTCCTATGTTTATTTTAACTTCTGATAAACATGAACTACATCTTACGCAATCTTATTGAAAACAGTCATCACAACCAAAAAGGTCCTTTTAAACCTCTCCTAGGTGTCAGCCAAGGGATTCATATTCTGATTTTAAATTTTAAAGTCCCCTTAAGAGGCTTAAACCTGGATTAAAGTACATAATACTCTGAAGCTCAATGAGACACCATTTTAAAAAAAAAATCCAAACAATGACTGGATAGTCAATGGAGGGGTTTTGCTTTTTAGTTGTAAATATTTCTAGTATCTCAGATTAGTGTATATTCATAGAACAATGTTTAGTTATCTAATAATAGCTGCTTATTAGACAATTGAATTTTAGCTCAAGGGCAATGCCACTTGCATAATAATCATGGAAATAACGAGCTGCAATGAAACAGAAAAAACATGGAAGAAAATAGAGCCAGTCTCAATGAGAAGACAACAAAATCTGAAGGGTTACCCTGGGAGATTAAACAGGCTCACTAAATACCATGACACAAGTGCTCCCGCTCACTTCTTAACTCCAGAAACCAATCGTGTTTGCTAGACCACCATTACCTTTGCTAGGACATGTGCACAGACCATCACTCTGAAGTTCTCCTTTTGTGCTGAAAAACTTTCAAATCCCTTGTTCGGTCAGTACAGAATATTGCGAGGTGATGCGTGTGCAAACTCTTCCTGAGGAATTCTTTGTGTGCAAATTTGCAACCTGACAGAAAGCATGGCATAGAGCAAGGGGAGTGACAGCCGTGGTGCTGGAAAGGGGCATGCAGAGTTAGCCACCGTGGGCATCCAGCCTTCCGCAGGCTCGCTCACACATCGGCTCTCACCCCCGACCCCAAAGCAAGGGACGGGGACCATCTCAAACGTGTAAAAGGGACAGGGAGAAAAAAATAGTAACTTTTCCACAAAATTTAATAATGCACAGCTCATGCATCCAGGTTTGTGTTTCTTCTCACAAACTCTACCTAAGAACTAGTAGGTTGAGTCACACCACCAGATTTTGCTCTCTGCCCTACAGAAAACAAAGCAGTCGAGTTAGGGGGCAGCCGTGACAACAGAGGACATGAGATGACACTGTTACTGAAGCTTAAGGCCAACCTTTGAAATAAGTACAGTCTCTCAAAACAATGATCATCTACTGATGTTACATGTCATCATTCCAAGGGGAGCAAGCTGGCTTTCTCTGGAGGGTCTAGTTTCGGGCCGCACATACGTACTAGTCAGTTTGGCCAAACCAACTGCATGTGTTGACTCATGAGACCACCAACCTGCTTTACAATTTTCTGTCTTCAGTGACTTGGGCCCCACCAAAAGCCAGTGTTTAACCGGCGTGGAGAAACTATATACTGTGCTGGCAAGAAGAATACAAGGACACACGAGAAGAAAATACTTTCAGGCAAACAGTGCTTAGTCAATACAAAATGGAGGCAAATCTGATTCCCTCTCATGTTGCAAACTAAGAATTCTGCTAAGACTCCCAATTAAATACGCAAAGCCAGTAACAATGTAAAGAAACAGATTCTTCATACTGCAGTATACCTCAAGGGGCCAAGATGAGTAACATCCAGGTCACCTGCATTGGAAAAATGTGTATATTCTTTCTACAGTGCCTTCCAATCACGGCCTTCCATCACCAAGCCCTCACCCACAGCAAGCTGCAGCCACTGTGCAAAAATGTATAGAGAAATTCAGTTCTGCAAACTTTACTCTGCCCACTTTTTGTTAATACATACATAATAATAAAAAGAAGACAATATAAAATATTTCTTCATTAACTTAATAATGCAAAAAGCATCCAAAGATTTTAATGCCAATTCACATCATAATACAATGGTTTTATAGGGAAAGTTTCGTTGTTGGCTGAAGAATACACCCTCCCAGAAACAGCATTTCGGTATATGATTAGGATACTGGAGAATTCATCCACATTAAAAGAACCATTCCAATTTCATTCCTTCCAGAAATATCATTAAAACCGCTCAAGAGCTCAGTTGCAAGTGTTATTTATAAGCCTGCAGCAAGCATTCCATCAAGTAAAATCTGAACTTCACAATAAAATGGAATTCTTCCTTGATACTAGAATGTTACTGGTGTAGCAAATCAAACTGTACAGGGCATACAGAGAGCCTGTATATATTCTTACAGTAATTCAGCGTTTATCGAGACAGTCCGAACTGCTCACAGTTGAATGAGCCCAATTTAAAGTCCTCCTCAAAATCCATCAACTCTGGTTGATAAGCACTTAAAAAAATAACTCTGACAACTTTTACTTCTCTGAAGAGTAAGTGGACAAATAGAGGACTTATTTTAGGTGACTGACTTGCTCCTAATACCACACTTCTAACTCTCCCACCCAGCCCGCTCCCCCAAAAAGGACAAAGTGAACTGGCAAAGGCACCTCTACGAAAAACCTGCCATCAGAGTGTGACGGTATCCCTGACAGATCTTCTTGTGTTGTCCCAAGTTCTCTGAAGAGGCAAATATTAGTCCAGCACAGCCAAACGCTCAGGCATATGTTCGATTCAGATTTAAGCAAAACTGAGGAGGAAAATGTTTTTCCCTTGCCACAGCTTTCTACTTCTCTTTGCCTTTCAAAAACAATTCAGAATAAGCTTCAGAGTCTTTTATACGGAACTAAATAGCACTGTGGGTGTACGGAGACAGAAAACACAGCTTTGCCACAGCCGGAAGGGAGCCTTCAAACAGAAGTGCTGCTGCTTCTCTATTATGCTCAAATGTGATGTTTGAAAAGACGCAGACTGCAGACTTTTTTTTTTAAGTACTTATCTCACCCATTTAAAATGAAATGGATCAGGAATCCCACATCGTTGATTATATTTGGATTTAATAACCGTACCTGCTTCCTAGAGCATCGCAGGAACCAGCTTTTACCGATGGGTGATTCTCCACAGTATTAAAACGGGAGTTTTAGTGCTAAGGTACTGTCCCCTAAACTAGCATAATGCCAACACTACAGCAGCTGGTGAGATCATGTTGTGATGGAGGAAATGGAAACGTTCTACAAGGTTGGTCCCTAACATGCCACGGTGAGGCCAGAGGAAATCTGGCCAATGTGCAACATGTTTCTATTTTCCCACTTATTCAGCATCCTGTTATCAAAGTCACACCTGACATCTTGGCGGGTTAGTCTGTGATTTGATAAACGTTTTCAGGAAGCATTTGTGAGTTTGACAACATGGTCACAGAGTTGCAAAGTGCACAAAGCTCAAGGCACAGAGTAGAAAACAGTTGTGAACTGATCGGGGGAAGAAGTTATATTGAAAGCAGGGTTAGCATTTTTAACAAGACTGTCTAATGCTAAATAAAGACCAACTCTTTTAAAGGGGTTTGTTTTGGTTATGGGTGAAAAATACTGTACTGTAATGATCTGCTTGATTTTAAAGCAAAAGATATCTTGATGTGTGAAACCAATATGCCAAAGTGCCAAGTCCACAAATGAACAAAACAAGTGCTTTATAAGAAAAAAGAAAGATTCTTCTGCTCTTGTATTTTTGGAGGAAGCTGCTGATTTTGGCTGCCGTATCGCACTTAGCAATGGTCACTCTTCATGACGCCTGTTGCTCACGGAATCTGTAGATAAACTCATTAGAAGATTGTCCCATTTCAAAAGTATCCCCAAGTCTAGCAGCAACTGTTTTTTTCGTTTTTGTTTTTCTTTGTTAGTTTTTTGTTTTTTAAAATTACAAACCAAAGTAAGAAGTCCAATATCCTCTTCCGAGAACAGCTTTGTGACAGAGCTCCTGAGTGTCTGCAGGACCCCCGCTGTGCTCTGCAGCTCCAGTGTGTCCTCTTTTCAGGAAGGAAGGTACCTCCAACACAGTCACTATCTGTACCCTCTGGAACTTGCACATGCTGATGAGCTGTCTGAAAAAAACATCAGAGGAGGAAAAAGCACAAATGGCAGACAGCATCTGACAACGGTAGGAACCTGTTTATTTAACACATACATCTCACCCCTGTCCTAATCCCGTAAAAGGAGGTTGCGGAAAAAAATACCTCAAAACCATGTGGTTTTGAATGAAGTAAAAGGGGACGAGATCGTCAGGAATTGAGTCTGGGTCCTTACCTCATTCTAGGAAAGCCTGACGAGCTGGCAGCCTCTTGACAACTGCCCGAGAACCACCAACACCAACTGGACCTGAGAGCTGCCATGGCTTTTGCACAACAGCCCAACCTTGACCACACACAGGGCCCGAGAGCCCACCATCAAGCACACCGTGGGTATCATTATAGCCAGTGGCTGCCTTACATCACAAAGCCATCAAAGACGGCAAGGAACATCATTACTTACTATAAGCCAACTCATCCCCAGCTCTCTTCCGGGACTGGTCACCTCTGGGGATAAGAAGAGAAGAGGGAGTCAACAGAGCTGACTGACATCTTCACACATCAAAGCAGGAGAAATACACTAGCATAACCGATAATGGAAATGGAGCAGACATTTTGGTGCTAACAATCTATTCTAAAACAGACATTAAACGGTAGCTGAGTCATTTATAATCTGAATATTCTTAGATAAAAGGTGCTATCTTTTAAATATAGAAAGCCATTAAATGAAGGAAGGATTATCTATAAAGATGGTTTATACTGGGTTCTAGAAATTGGTTCAGACTAAAATGTCTTTGAAGAGAAATCTGGCTCTACTATCAATGTCCCTGGTGACCTGCATATAATAGGGCAAATTTCAAATATGAAAATAGAATAATTCAAAATCTTCCCTTAAAAGCCCTATTATGTGACCAAAAACTGCTTAAAGCTTCTGAAAAATCTCAGAATCTTAATGTACATGAGTATCCTTCTTGCAGATAAAAGAACATGAACCTTTACATACATTAACCAGTTCATCTCCAAACACCAACAGAAGTTCTGGTTCCACTTTAGAGATAAGAAAATTGAGCTCTGATTAACTCCTATGCTACCTGTAAATCCTATATTTTGTCTCTCTAGTTTCTTAGGCAATAATCCAGACAAATGACTAAAATGCTTAAGCAATGAGTGATAATAACCAATTCACTAGCTTTTTCTTCCTCGGCCTCTGAGCAGCATTTCCACAGTTGACCTCGTCCTTCCTAGGAAACAGTCCTAGCTCTGCCCAACAATCTATCCTTGGCCACTTTTCCTTCTCCGTGTATATTCTCCTTAGTCTAGGCAAGCGGTCATTCCTGTCTTGTGACCTGAAATACAATGCATATGTCAGTGGCTTCCAGATTTGTCTTCAGCTCTGACTTCCTCACTACACCGGACTTACAGGTCCAGCTGCCTCATCGCCACTGCTGCTCGGATGACTTCCAGATACTGCAAACTTACAGCAGCCGGAATGCACTCCACCCCTACGCCTTCCTCGGTCTTCCTCAATAAATCGCACCACCATCCACCCAATTACTCAGGCCAAAATCCTAGCTTATCCTTGATTGCTCTCTTTGGCTCACTCTGGAGCATTCTGACCCAAAACATAATCCAAAATCAACCACTCCTCAACTCCACAGCTACAATCCCAATCCAAGCCACTACCATCTCTCCCCTACACAACGGCGAGAGTCTCATTATCAGTCCAGGCAAGAGTCAGGCAATCTTATGTACAAGCATAAATAAGATTATTTCACGCCTCTGAAAAGCCCTTCAGTGGCTTTCCATTACAGGTAAAAACTCAATTCAAATTCATTTTCCCAGCCCGGTGAGATACGGCTCCTCCTACCTCTCAACCCTCATCTTCCACCTCTGCTCACTGCGTCAGTCACTCTGGCTTGCTTTCTGTCCCTGGGACCTGTCAGCACTTCTGCACTTACTCTTTTCTCTGCCTGCAGCACTCTTCCCCCAGTAGCCATGCGGCTGTCTCCTAGGTCTAGCTGGAGGCGCTACATCACCAAGTGAGCTGAACAGCCCCTCCACCAGGCCCTGCTCACTCACTCTCTATCCCTGCTTCATGCTGTTTTTAGCCCTTATTATTATTTGAAATAATTTGTTTACATGTTTGTTATTTATCTCCCAACAGCAGAGCATAAGCGCCATAAAAACAGGAACTCTGCCCGCCTTGTTCCCCCAGTACCTAGAGCAGTGTCTAGCACATAGTAGAAAATGGTGAGTAATTCATTAACAGCCTCTACAGAGGGCTTCAAATCCTAGCCCAAGTAATTATTTCATGCTTTCGTGTCATCTTCCAGATTACCGAAGTTTCCCACTTTCTCTAGTTACGCCCAAGAACGTAAACCAGGACAGAACCCTCTTGCGCTGAGTGAGAAGTCTTAACGACCGGCAGGAAAAGAACACACCAAACCGTCTCTGAAGGGTTTTTCTCTGGGCTGAGCATTTAGAGAAAAACAGACGCAACAGTCGGTATGGACTAGCTTTAGGTGGCCTAGGGAGCTCTGAGCAGACCTGCTCTCCTGCCACTTTTTAAGCATCTCTATTGTTAACGCTGGATCTAGCCAAAGCCAGGGGAGAGTCTTACACTAGCCATCATCACGGCAGCATTCACCAGCTATTCTGTAACCAGTAAGTTAATGCTGATCAAGAAAGAAGACAGGACGGCTCTTGTATCTGGGACCTCTATAGACAGCCTTCATTCCTACCTCCTCCCAAATATTTTTTAATGGAATATGCAAAAATAGAAAAACACAGATGTGGAAACCACAGGAGGCACAAAGAATGTAAATGTGATGTGTGCGAGAGGCTGCCAAAGATATTATTCAGCGCCACAAGCCTGGAAAGCTATAAGCTACCCTCAAAGCCAGACCCCTGCTACTAGACAGAAAAGCCCCAAGCCCAGGGTGACCCTCTCAGCTGAAAAACCAACAATACCCCTAACAAGGTTCTATTTTGTTCCAGAAATCCAGGTAACAATCACTCAGCAAGAACATTTTTATGTGCCTTTAAAAGCTATCTGGTACATGCTTCGAAGAGGCCTGCAGGCTGGTTTGAATGCAGACGCTCCATCTGAGGGCCTGCACGTTAGAAGCTCCCCAATGAGCTTACCTTCCGTAATGTGATCGCTGACAGCGACAGACACCAACCTGCCCTGCCCCCACAATAACCAATACAATAATGCAGGTAACACGTAAACATGTTTCTCTTAGCTTGTATGTTACTTCTAGCTTTGAAATAAGTCCACACTATATTTCCATGCAACTAAAGACGTTTCACATAAACTTCAGCTCAAATGAGAATCTGTCCATTAACTTCAAAAGAGGATATATTTGACAGCATTAACATGTTATTTCAAAACACTTGAAAGACTTTCTCTGTGCCATCCACGTTACAGCTATGTGCTGCCTATCCAGGACCCCCTACATCACAAAAATGGAACACAGCCTTACATGAAAAAACAGCCTGCAAAGCTGAACGGGAATCACGTGACTGGCTAGACACAAACCATAAAATGACTGCTCACAACAGGAGAGCCAGTAACAGATTTTTCTGTTAGATAGCTAATACTGTATTTTTGCATCATGGGACACCACTTCTTCCAAAACAATCTAGCCAAATAATGGTGGAAGGCAGCACCAAGTCTGGCAGGGCAGCTACGGAAGGTCCACGCGCAAGAGCTAGCAACACAGGCAGCCCTTCCCTCAGCTGCCAGGTGCACAGTGTGCGCACGCCCGTCTGACCACTCGGAGGCAACTCAGCAGTGAGGTGGAGTGAGTCTGGACTGTCACCTAAAGCAGGGCCTACTCTGTGCAAAGCACCCATCAGAATAACTTATGAGGGAGACTTTAATCCTCCCAGTAAATGTATAATAATACACTGTTAATTCTAGAAATGGCCCAATTCAGTTCATAAAATAGAACATCTTAATTTTATCACCTTTTGGAATACTGATATTTAAATTTCACATGAAAGAATTCCATTAAGAGAAACAAAAATTCCAATTTACACAAAAACCCAAGGCATTTCCTTGAATAGGACCAGCCTGGCCTTAGCAGAACAGCCCCAGGTTGGTTCTTCATGTTCAAAGGCAATGTTACAGGAGACTATTCATGGAGTCAGTGCCTCATCTCAGCCCAAGCAAATTTTACATTAAGAGCTGCTACACACCAAGCAGTCCTGCTCCCTGTTCCCTTATTCCAGTTCCAAAACTGGGACTAGGAAAACGTCTCCAGATATGTTTAATCAGTTCCACACAGTTCTGGACGGTGAATTCAAGGTGCTCAGAGACCTCTACAAGAGCACCTTCCTACACTGCTTCACAGAAGTAAGTTTTCAGAAGGCTGTTTATTTGTTAAAGGCTCAAGAAGCTTAGCTCTAAAATTACAAGCAAACATTCAAATAAAACATGAGTAAAAACATAAAAGACTTCAAAATTAAGGTAAGCCTAGGAAAAAACTTTAATGTACACTTGGGTTTTTTTTTGCATTTATTTGAAAAGATTTGAGAAAAAACTTTTATAATTCAAAATACGTAAGCCATGAAGAAAAAACTTGATAATGTTAGTTACACAGAATAAAGAACTTATGCATGACTTCAAATAAAACAAAAAACCACCAGAAGCAAAGTCAAAAGACAAACTGAGAAAAATAACTGTCTTATCTTGAGTAAACAATCTCTTCACTACAGAAAGAGCTCCTAGAAACCAAGAAAAAAAGACTAAAAATCAAAAAATCAGCGAAACACAGAAAACAGGCAGTTTACAGCAAAAGACATACACAATATGAAAACATGCTCAGCCTCACTCATAAGAAGAGAAACGGAAATCAAACCAACTCTTGAGTATTTTTCACCTGCCAGACTGGCAAAATCTCAAAAGTGGAACAACACACTCCACAGACAAGGCCACATAGAACAGGCACTTTGACACGCTGCTAGTGGAGGTGCAGAATGGCACAATCCCCCGTGGAGGGCATTTTGTTGGTATTAAGCAATTTTACCACTGCATCTCCTCTTGACCCAGCTTTCTCACTTAACGGGAATTACTCTCCAAACACACTGACAACAGGTACAAAATTACGCATGCAGCTTTCTCTGTAATAGAAAAGACTGGAAATAATTCTAGTCGCCATCTACAGAGAACTGGTTAAGTAAATTATAGTGCATTTACACAATGAAATGTGTAAGAAAGGAATAAAAATAAGAACATACATTGTGTTTCCTGTCTCTGTATATAAAATAAGCACTGAAGGGAATCATAACAAACTAATAAAAACAGTTACCTAATGGCTGGGAGCAGATGAGGAGACAGGTGGGAGTAAAACTTCTCAGTGTATATACACTTTTTGTATCATTTTTTAAAACTATACGAATATACTACTCTTTGAAAATGAATAAGTGAAATTATTACAGCATTAAATGGCCTCATTCTGTGTATGAAAATAATACTGCTGTCAGAAATACTACAATTGATGTCAGGAGACACCTGACCACTGGGCATCAGGGAGAAAAATCAGCTGTCTACATCCAGCATGTCCCAGTGGCCTTTCCTCCCCCTAACTTGCCACAGGAAAGGCAGGGTTACCAGGCCTGTCTACACAGCTTCCTGAGCCTTTCCAGCGTGAGCTGCCAGTGAGGGGGGTAAATGACCAGTGGATTACTCAGTGCCCCTGTACCACAGGAATACAGATGCCACCAGGACAAAAAGGGAATTAATACCAATCCGTGGGCCAACAAAGAACAAACCTGTGCTGAAACCAGAAACTTAGAAACAGTGATCTTGGTCAAGACTAGGATCCTGAGATGGAGCTTGGCCCCAGAACCTATGAAAGACGGTGCCCATCCTCCCCCCCACCCAGACAGGTGGTCTATTCTCAGTGCACTCTGTGGTCACAACTACGCCTCAGTGAGGAACTCGGGTGTCTTCCTTTCCACAGGTTTCTTCAATGTGAGGGATTCAAATAAGAGATGATATGTAAAAGAGCTAAGGATTATGAAAATATAAAGTACCACTGCTGTACCCTTCAATGATTTGGTGACGTAACAAGGTGTTTTCCCACAGGGAACCAAAGAATTTTTACAAAATTTTAGTTGAAAATATGCACTTGAAAGATTTTCTCTGATAAAGCCATGATACTGAATTGGAAATTTTAGAAAAATTAACTAAGCGTATGTATCAAAACCAAGGGAGGCAAATTTTTGCAGACACATGTAAGTGATACTCTACTTTTTAAGAAGAAACAAAGTTTAGGGAAAAGTGAAAATATGAAAAACAGAATCTAAAGCCTCCTTACCAGTTTAGCCGTAAAACTAGTCATCTGCTAGTTTAATCATCAAAGTACATTATAACTGATCATAAAACTTTTACGAAGTTTTTCCAAATGTTTGGAACTAGTCGGAAGAGCTCTTGGAGGCGGCCCAGCCTACCTGCCACCCCCACCCATGAGAAATCCCTTCCCCAAACTCTACTCAAGTGAAGAGCAGCTTCCGTGAAGTCAGAACCCAACTCAACACATCCACGGACAGGGAACTGACCCCTCTCCCAGCAGCACCGCCCCAACACCTGGACAGTTGTCCCCCATCCTAAGAACACCGGCAGCCCTCCAGCGCCAAGCCATCCTGGCCCAAACAAACAGACACATTTTGTCACAAAAGGAAGAAAAAACTTGCCTCGTAAAACCGTTCTGTATAAGTTCTCTTTGAAGTTTCTGATCTTGAGCAGCATATTCAGAAAGTTCAGATTCCACCGCCCGAGGGAGAATGTTTGGAATAAATTTAGAAAATAGAGTTGGAGCCATCTGAACCCACTCTGTGAGGGAAGGAAAAGTTCCATTAAGGAAATCATGTAGAGAAATTAAACAGAAAAGAGAGTTTTCTTCTCAAAGAACAAGAATATGTACTAAACCAAACAAAATGGGGAAAATATCAGTGCAATCCCTTCTGATACAGAGGTTAAATTTCCTTTCTAAACAGAAGTTACAGAAAGTGAGTATTTTTACATTTTACTGTTTTAACAAAATTTAATGAAAACCCCTAGAGAATTTTTGAATGAACCTTATCAAAATTTCTAAATATATAAGAAAACATGAATAAAATAACCAAAGAATTCTAAGTGGAAGGGGACCTGGAAGGAAGGGGTTTGGCGGAAATACTTAGCCTGAAAAAGTATTAAATAAAACAATATAGTGGTCAAGAATACAATAGCACATGTAGTAATAAGCAGACATAAAAAAAGAAGTACCACAAAAATGGGGAGGGGACAAGAGAGAACATGACAAAGATGAATTAGTATCTTTATTGTAAAGCATTTTAACAAATCAGGAAGTCCAAATAAATGGGTGAAAGACAGGAATGAATTTAAGAAAACAAAAATAAACAGAATAATAGCTTTATTAATATTCAGAAAAACTCAAGCTAAAACAAACATACACTCTTGCCCAGTACTCACTCAATGGACACTAACAATATGAAAAATGCCCACCTGTATGCCCTTTTGGACTCTTTTAATCTAGCCCTTCCAAATTTTCCCTTCTGGAAAACATCTTGGCTGTATATATCAAAAACCATAAAATGTCAGTGCTCCATTTAATCTAGCAAATTCACTTTAAAAACTGTAATCTAAATAAGTAATTCTAAATCTGAAGAAAAAAACCAAAACACGCTTAATGCTATGCAATGCTGAGTCATTACTAAATTTTAAAAATGTCCAATGAGAGCATACCTAAGTTAGAGATGGCAAAAAAAAAAAACTCAGAAAACAAGCACCACAAATACCGCCAAGGCCAATCCACTCGCCACCCCTTGTACTAATTCATGTCAAAATGTTCTCAACAGCGCAGTGTCTCTCCTTCAAGTTCAGCTCAAAGATGGCTTTAGTCTCAATTCAGTGCCCTGGGGAGCCACTAACCCATCAGTCAGAGCTGGCAAGGAGTCAAACCAGTCTGCCATTTTATGGAACTCCAGGCATTCAAAGTGAAAATGAAGAACAAAGAAAGTATGTGTATTAAATGAAAAAAGGCAGGGTAGGGTGATGGGAACTATTCCTAGACTGAGCTTTGAAAGACTGGATGGAAACACATCTAAAACGATACTATTTATCAGACTCTGCAAGGACTAGGGCCCAGGAATCCATAGTTTAAAAAACTTTAGGTGATTCAGATGCATTCATCATATAAAAATAAGCATTTAAGGACTACTGCAATGAAAGAAACATTTACATTTAAAATTCAACTTTTAAAATATTTTAACCTTAATCTGTCTGGTGAATAAAACTGCTTTAACAAACCAGGAACACAATGGGTACTGGGAAGACAAATAAATGTCAAAATTTGTTTAACAGTATCTCAGAAAATATCTAGGGTAGCAAAAGGTTAGTCTGTGATAAAATTCACCTTTTCAAAAGGACAACTGTCAAACACAGAATTCTCCTCACAAGTAGTAGGAATCCTATTACCAGAGCTAAAACCTGGATAAAATAGCACTTAGATAAACATGTATCTGTAAGGTTTTCTACCCTTAGTGACTACTTTTATTCTGTAATTTTGTTACTTATGATAAAGCCAAAGCTGATAAAGCTGCCTATTTGGGAAGCAAAATTTAGAAATTTGTCATACTGCACTTGGATGCCTGCCAAAATAAAAGAAAAAAATCATTCATAACCTAGCACTGAAAGAAAAATTCAGGAACCACTTTCATCACATTTAGTAAAATGAAAGTCAAAATTCTGAGAAACTAGAAATACATCAGTTTATTGGACACACGCAATATTTCTGCCACCTTATGTAAATAATTACAGGAATCGTATGTTAAAAAATTATGAAGACCAGAGTAAGAGTCCAAACTTAAGCAACATTAAATCTGAATACTCTAGAAGTCACTAATTGTTTAAAGTAGACTTTGAAAGGAGTTATTTCTGACATCAGTCTACCCCCAGTATCAGTTTTACTTGGTTTCCATTTTAACAAGCTAAATTCTGACATACATTATAATACTAAGTAAATAAACAATCAAGACATCAATTAATTAAAATAAAATAACCACTGGATCTAAGTGGATAGCAGTAACCACAGTTATAGTGGCATGCTTACTACATTACAGGTACTGTGTTAAGCTCTTTAGATCACATTTTATTTCATTCAATCCTCAAATGATAAAAGAACTTCACAAAAAAGGTAATTACTGTCAAAAAAGCATCCCTTATGCTTCTAGATTGAAGAACCATTTTCTACCCTGAACTTCTGTAGTCTCTCTCCTCGCCATTTTTTAATTGGCTAGACAACTGTATGGGAAGTGTGAGGTTCTGGCTTGCAAACAGGAAGATATATACAAAAGCATGTTGGGATTCCTTTAAATTCACAGTGTTTTATTCTAAGATAGAGACATTAAGATAATCTACAAACCACACCTTTGAATATAGTGATCTCTGAGTTTTGGCTCTGCTAGTCTCTCTCCTCAAAATATCCTTATGCAATGACTGTAACGTTACCAACACTTCCAGATTCCTTGTGTAACAGGCCTAACAACAGAGTTGTGAATGTGTATGTCTGGGCAGATCTGCAGGACAGGGCATAAGTGGAGGAGAAACTCATAACAAAAAAGAGATTAATGACAGACATGAGATTCAACTTTCATCTCAAGTGTCACCTACAAATTATTTCTTGTATTTCCCAAACCTGTTGGTTTTCACTAGTATAGAAAGGTTTCCAAGGGAGGTCGTGATATCTACTCAATTTTTTTGCTGTAACAAATCCAAACACCGTTAGGCTCAGAAAACACAAAGGAACACGGTCCTCTCGCACAGGCTGGAACTACTATAAGCAAGCAAGCCCAAGCCCTGCGGGCGTGACGGCCATTTACCTGGTCTGAGAGTGTACAGGCCTTTCACAATATTTGCCATGGTTGAAGGTGTGACCTGAAATGGTGTTGACTGGGCTTCTAAAAGTAAAGCTGAAATAGAGAGAAAATGATTTAGAAAAATGTACCACTTACTGATTGTCAAGGTTTCTCTTTCTATCACCCTTTTCCCCAAAAACTGAAGGGTAAACAAGGGCAAGAAAAGAACAGCCCAAGAGGACAAACCAAGGGTCTAGACACTACAGTTTTTGGTGTTTGTTTGTTTGTTTTTTAAATCCAGCGCAGTAGAGTTCAATCTAACAAGTAAATATGTGCAGGTCTGTTGAGACACTAGCAGAAATGGTTCGACTCACGGAGGTTCTTAAAAGTAGTAAAGCTTCCTAAAACCAACAGTCTTCACGGTTCCTGTGAGTTACAAGTGCTTCCCATTAAGTTTGTGATTCACAAGATTTACATTTGGGGGTTGAAATGTTCCCTAACTCTCGTAATCATTTCAACATTAGGGTTCCCGTTCCTTCAAATCACCATGTATGATGCTCTTGGAATTCTTCTGAAAGACATGTTACTAGTAATTTTAGGAACCACAATCAGAGTCAGACACTCACTTTCCCAAATGCTGCATGTGTACTTTTTTCTTACTGAAGGTGAAGGTAACAGATCACACTGGCTCATCCTTCCCAAGTTCAGGACTCTGGTAACTGCGTGACCCTGACTAATCATGACAACAGTTCGTTTTCTTTCAGGTTATCTACGACCATACAAAAATCTTATTAAAATATTTTTAAATGGATAGGAATAATTCCTTTAAATAACATTAACACATACAGATGAATTCCATCATTTAGTGACTACAACAGGTACTACTGACTCAAAACAGCTCGTTTTTCATTTATTTTCCAAAGACCTTAGTCTAAGTCAGGCTTGTAAAATTACATAAGCTGTTTTCTTCTGTCCACGCCTTTCTTGAAATGAAAACGCCATCTCACTTGGCCAAAAATGATTTTGTAGTTTCAAGCATACAATGTGAGTTACATGTGAATTTATGATGAAGGCCAGGGAGCACTGTTCAAGATTATCCTTCTGATTTTATCATCAGTAGTTAGTTATAATTTTGAATGACAGATAAATTTTAAGGATGACAAATGTTAGGCATTGCAGAAAATCATATTTTAAAATGCGGTGTTCAAAAACTGAAATTATGAACTGTAGGTTCTCTTCTACTCAAGGTTCTAATTTCAAATGTACCCCAAACCCAGGCTCTGTCTCTATGGATCCATCTTCCACCTTTCTGGCCTTGTTCCCACTAACTCTTCATGTTCTATCACATTCATCATGTGGTCAAATACACACATTTGCAAACGGCCTCTATATTTTAACTATAACCACCTGTGTCAAATTTGATAGCTATAAAGAAATGATAAATTCACAGACTAAATTATACATAAAATGTATATAAATTTAGGACGAGTTACTTGAAAATAATCACATTCAATAATAAAAGGTTATTAGAGTTGAGAAGGTGTAACATTTCACTAAACTCCTCTGCACTTAAAACTCCATAGGAAAACAATCTTTAGAAGATTTTCTAGTTGAAATCCCCTTTTAAGGAAAAAGAAATGGGAATTTGAGAGAGCAGTAGCTTGAGAGAGGAAAGAAGATATTTACTGAGTATTTAATAGGTGCTAGGTACTTTACATATGTTTAATTCTCATAAGTTTTATTTAATTTAGAATTTACTTTCTCACAAGCTAAACTATCATCTCCCTTTTTTTTTTTAAACACAAACAAGGAAACTGAGAATTCTATGCTACCATTTCAGTAACATTAACACTGCACTCCTTCTAGAATTACCTGTAACAAAGTTAGGGGTGAACCCCTTAATAATATCTCCCCCAATGTCAGAGAAAAAAGAAAAGAGCAGCAAGCATCATGCCAGATACGAAGGCACTGTCCAGTGACCAGGCTGCTTGCTCCTAGCTCCCTGGGTCACATTTTCAGTTCCTCGGTGTCTCTCTCTATATAACTGGACTTTAACACTTGCTGTATGATTCAGAAGATGTCAGCATCAGGGTTGAGATGCCAATGCTCTTTGATTAAAAAAAAAAAATCACTGCTAGTGTTATCTTACCCCTCTATAAGTTGAATTACTTACGCATTAGGCTGTATATGTGCTTTTCTGCAACATGTTCCGTAAACAGCTTTATAAGATCATCTTTTAAGTCTCTGTTAAGCTTGGTTTCGATGTAAAACTTATTCTGAAAAAGAAAACAAAGTATTTTTCAGCGTATCAATTAGAAGGAGATGATTAGTCTAATGAATTGAAGCACTAAAAAAATTGTTTTGGCAAACAATTCAAAAAGGCATCAATTAAAACATAAAAACTCAACATCAAAAAAACAAAAGCCCTGTCACTATTAGTTATAGTCTTCCTAGCAGGGGGTTAAGAGCACATGAAGAAAAATGCTATGAATCATTTACCTCAAAAGGAACATGGGAAGGTACCCAACACTAACTAGTCAGGAATTAATGCACCACACTGTGTGACAGGCACTTAATATGTCCTTTTAAAATACTGCATCATCATCTAAAGGCAACACCAGGAAACACTAGTGAAAGGTAACCCACTTATCAAAGATCTAGGCTGACAGCAGGCAGTGGACATACATTGGTTGGCTCTCTAACAAATATTCCACTTCAGTGATTAGTGGACATCACTCAGCTTATGACATTCCTTAGGGATGGATGGTCTTTGGTTCAAAGACAGACACATAACCCAAGGTAGCCCAATCAGACTGAGAGAAACCTAGGCTTTAGTGAAAAGTATCTGACGGTCATCTTACAATGAGGAAAACAACCAAAACAGAAGTGTAAAGCAAAGAGACAAAAAACAACCTGAGGTCTTCATAACACTGCTGAACCACAGATTCGGCCAACCTCAGGGACTGCCTTCTTTCTAGAGTTTTACTACAAGAGATAATTCTTTATTTCCTACAATCACTTTGAATCAGGTTTCCTGTTTCTTGCATCCAAAAGCACCCTAATTAGAACAACTGGCTAGTCAAAAAGAATTTGTTCATGTTTAAATGTTAACTCAACGCACAGGAGTGGAAAATGCAAAGAGGAATGTCAGCAAGTTGCTCAGAAATTCTCTCAATGCTTAACATTTTTTTCTTTCTAAAAAATTACAAAAATAACATGCACATAATTACAAAATACAGCCATGCAAAAGAGTATGCCACAAAAAGAAATCTTCCACAGCACACCTTCTCTCCCATTCCCAAAGGTCCCATTCTGCACTGCAAAAACTTTTATGTATTCTTTCTAAAATGTTTTTTGCATTTTTTGGATATGCCTTTTTTTTCCTAATAAAGAAGAAAACACTTGCTGATGAAGAAATATAACATACTGCTTTATATCTTGCTTTTTTTCACCTAACGTATCTTGAGAAGATTTCTCTCTAAAATAACACACAGACATGTCGTTATGATTATTATTTCTTGGTGGGGAGGCAATGGGTTTTTTATATATTTTATTATTTTTTTTTTTAATGGAAGTGGGGATTGAACCCAGGATCTCATGCATGCTAGGCATGAGCTCTACCACTGAGCTATAACCTCCCCTCTCAGACATGTCATTATTTTTTAACTGCGTATTTTTCTACTGTAAATATCCTCCATAAATTATTTAAATAGAAGTCCCCTGCTGATAAAACATATTTCTCCCAATTGTTCTGTTTTACTTTTTTCAGTAAAGTGTATCTTGTGGAGAATAAACCATTTTATAGATTGGCATTACACATATGGCCATCTCTGCTACAAAACGTGCCACCCATCCCCTGATCTAATCAACAGAGAGGAACGGGCATATTGGTTTCTAAGGGCTCCTGTTTAACAGGAACACTAACATTAAGATCCTATAACTTAGAAACTAATACAACACTGTAAATCAACCATGCTTCAAAAAAAATCCTGTAACTTTATATATTTAGGGGGTGAAGGAGGAACTAATCAACAAAGTCAACAGGCTGCAAGTTATACTCATGGCATAATTCTCCAAATGAAAGAGATCATCAGAATGAAAGCAAATTTTATTGTTCTATTTTTTTATGAAGACTTAAGTTGGCATTTACTATACATCATGTTTTTAGATATGTCTTAACTCTCTACTTTCTGAAGATAAGAAATCTTTCTTACATATCTTTATTTTCCAAGCACAGAATCTTCCATATGGCACAAAAAAATTAATGCTAATTGGGTAACAGCTGATTATTAATGCTTAATTATCTATTCAGCAATGATATTTATGAAATTTTAGAACAGTAAAAGGCTAAAATATTTCTTCTCTGTCAACACTATCAAACATTGATGAACTAGATTAATTTCCTTTTTTACATAATAAACAGTAAAAGAAAAATAGAACATGCTTAACTTTCTGCCTGTGACTGCACTTAGACCAAAAACTGGAGTATCTTGAAAGAGGAAACAGCTCTAGCTTACCATATATATGAAAAGAGGCACAATGCTCTGCAATGCTCCCATATATTGTCCAAGAGCTATATTAAATCTTTCAATATAGAGATCTGGCGGGCTGGCCTGTGAAAAAGAACATAAATGTGATTATTCTGGGAAATGTGGTATAAAGATCTTCCAGCACAATCTAAAATGCAAATAGAAGTTAATCAAAATCCATACTGAAATTCACAATAAAAAAGAGGAGGCTTATACCCTGAAATTTAGTTAAAGCTTCTATCTTTACTCCAAAATCTGCTATGCAAAGCTGAGGTTTGGTTTAGCTGTCATTAAAAATTGTGTAACCTTACCATATTAGTTAAAAGGCTTGCTCTGTTAACAAGTAAAAAGGTGAATTCACAATTAAATGATATGATTTTTAAAATTATCGTTAAACTATAGACATTTACTATGGGAACCAAACTATATCTGGACCTGGAATAGGGAAAAAATTCAAGGAAGTGGTAAGGCTTAATATACTATGAAAATGGTTGTTGATAACATTATTGGCTAGAAAGCAGAACTCAGATGGTCCAAATACATCTACAGCTCTGGACAGCAGTTAAAATATAATACATGCTTGGCATTTAACTCATTGTTACCAAATACCATGTCATAAAGCCATCAAAAGAGAACACTTCCAATTTTACTGCATGTTGTGGAGTGTGTGTGTGTCCCACACAAAAACTGGTATGTTGAAGCCCTAACCAGTGCAACTATATTTAGAGTAAGAACGTAATTAAGGCTAAATGAGGTCATGAGAGTAGAGCCCTGATCCTATAGAATTAGTGTCCTTATAAGAAAAGACACGAAGGGGCTTCACTGTCACCTACTCCCTCTCACCCCCCCTACACCCCCCAACCCATGTACACTCAGAGGCAAGGCCATGTGAGCACACAGCAAGAGGATGGATGGCTTTCTACAAGCCAGGAAGACAGCCCACCAGGAACCAAATCAGCTGGCACCTTAATCGTGGACATCCCAGCCTCCAGAATGGTGAGAAACAAATTTCTGTTCTTTAAACTACTCAGTCTGTGGCATTTTGTTATGGCAGCCCAAGCAGATTAAGACACTGTGTTTTACAAAAATAAATCAACGTACTATTTCATTTTATTCTCTAAAGCTAAATTAATTAGGTACCAGTTTAATACTGAAGAAGCATACAAATGGGCAAGCAATTTGCCTAAAATTAGTGTGTTAGGAGATGACAGATCCGGGTCTTCCAGTATAAATTCACTCCTGGGCCAGGGAGTTAGGGGAACGGGCATGGCACAAAACAGCATGCAAACAAAACTGATTCCACACAAAGGGATGACAGTCTCATTACCTGACAACCGTATCCTACACAGAAAGTCTGGCTTTCAAACAAGGATATAAAGAAATGCCATATGAAAGGCTCCTAAATATTCAATTTAAACACTGAAATTATAAAACCATTTCAGCTAAGCTGTTTTATAAATGTCCAAATACTCCAATAATACTTTTAAATAAGACAATTCACTTCTTTCTGTTCTATTTAGAAGCTTAGCATATGTGTAGTGAACTGTCCTTACTTCTAATTCATCTTCCATTGCTGAGTTCTTACAGGTCTGGTACACACTAGGTGCTTTTTTTTACGTTTACTTTCCTTAGTCCTCCTACTGACTGTAAATTGAATGTTACTTCCATTTTACATTGAGGCAACTGGGGCTCAGAAATATTTAGTCACTTGACCATAGTCCCAAAGCTAATAAGCCAAGAACTAAGACTCAAATCTTGCTCAAACTGAGTCCTTCCGTCTATTTACATTTCGTTTTTAGCACCCTCAAACCTTTATGGAAAAAAGTTCAAACTTCCAATTTAGGGCACACTCTCTGCTTTCTCATCCTGCTCCTTCTCACGCAGAGCCCAGCGTGGCGATCGCATGGAACTACCAGCAGTTCCACGACAGCGTCCGTGCACTGTTCAGGCCTCCCTGACTGCGCTCCTACCTCACGCCCTTTGTCACGACCCCCTAACCAGACTCACCCTGGCTAACTTCTGTCCACCCTCTGAGGGTTGTGTCACTTCCTCAAAGCTATCAAAGCCCTTCAGCAAGACACCACCGCACTTATTCACTTCTCCACTAGGTGGTCTCTTTCAGCCGCCGGAGGGCAAGATCTGTCTTATCTTCACATTTCTAGTGCAGACCACAGAACCTGGAACATGGTAGGTATAGATGAATGCAAAAAAAAAAGGAAAGAAAAAAAATTTTTTTTTTTTGCATTTAGGACAGTCTTGCTTAAATCCAAACTAGTTTAAATCTAAGTCTAATCTAGCCTTGTTTAAATCTAAACTGCTATTTTACCATTAACAAGGTTATATATTAGGCAATTTAGTTAGCCCTTTGAATTTCAATTTCCGTAACTATAAAAAATTAGAAAAATACTAATTGTCCTACGCCTAAGATGTGCTGAGAATCAAAGAAAATAATGTGTAAGAGCTTTGAAAAATGCCAACTGTTACACATGCATATGCAAGCAGGAAGAGTAAGTAAACTCCTTTCTGAATTAACTACCCATTTGTCTAATACTTCAGAAAAACCTATTAACATTATCAAAGGCACTCTTTGTTAACTAAAGAAGTTGGGGAAAATGGTTCCACGTTATGGGCAAACTTTTCACTATAACTAATGAACAGAATCACATGTAATATCGTTCTCTAAACTGCTTCAAAGAACTCTGCAAATGATATTTCAGTATTCAAAGAAATAAATTTTAGAAGTATTATATGAAAAAAGAAAATCTGAAGAGTTTTTGCATTAAAATAATTTTCCCTTTTCAAAAAACGACATTTTATCTATCCAAAAGTTAAAAGTACGAACACGGATCAAAAGCCACACTTAATAGCAGACAGAATAAATAAAACTGAATTCCTTATTCTTTTCAAGAATTCTCAAAACCTCAAAGGTTATGAGTATTAAAAAGCACTTTTTGTACTGAATCAAATGTCAGAACATTTACTTGGCTTTTCTACTTCCATATTTCATACAGCACTTATTCAAAACCTCTTAAATGACAGGACTATAAATTATAAGTCTTCTAAAATAAACCCAATCTCTCTACTAGGAACCTAGAAATAACTGCTAGTAAAAACTAATCAAATTGTTCCTCCTTAAAACTTAAGTTCAATATACTTTGGGCCCCACTAGGGAAATTGCTACCTACTTGATTTACATAATTTCACCATGAATGTATTTGGCTTGGAGATTAAATGAAATTTTTTACCCTCAAAATAAGCAAGCTTCATTTTCTTCTCAAATAAAATATGACAAAGCAAGTCACCAGAAAAATAACCATTACTCCAAACTTGCTCCAACTTTTCATAATAGACTTAAATTCCCTGAAATGTGTAATATAACTGGTAGGAATGTTTTAATTTCTTTTTCTTTTCTTTAATGAGTAATGACTACATTCATCTGGTTTAAAATTCAAATGAATTCAAATGGGTTTACAGTAAAGAGTTTACCTTTCATTCCTTCCTTGTTGAACAAACCAACACTTAATTCCTTTTTATACTTCCAGGAGAATTTTATGTATATACAAAAAAATAAGTATCCCATTTATATTCCTTTTCACATAAATGCTAGTTTAAAATGAAGCTGATCTACACTTTTCCTAACAATGTTATCTTGGAGACTTTTATTCTACTAGTTCTCAAGGGTCTCAGGAACCCTTTATACTCAAAAATAACTGAAAATCCCAAAAAGATTTTATTTATAACATAGGTTGTAGCTATTAATATTTACCACATTAGAAATTAAAGCTGGGTTTTAAAAATATGTATTAATTCAAAGTTGACAATAATAAACTCATTGCATCTTAGCTTTTTAATGTTAAAATACAATTAAATAATTTATATTATAAACTATACAGTTGTACTTTATATGTGAATAACTATATTTTCCAAAAAAAAACTGGTAAGAAGAGTGGTATTGTTTATACATTTTTGTAAGTCTCTTTAGAGTCTGGCTTAATCAAAGACAGCTGGATTCTCACATCTGCTTGTACTGAATGAGTTGTGACTCTGTATTCTGTTATAATAAAACCCACTGTTCTACCTTCTACTTTGAATGGGTCTTTTACACACGCAATTTATAGCATTTGGGTCCTTTATATGTACATTTTATAGCATGACAAACTAGTTTTTTGCAAAATACTGACTCACTGAGTTATGTAGATCTTTCAAGTGTTGACACATTTCACTATGCAACATCAAAAAAAACAACAATTGTTAACATCACCTCTTATCCTATCAGAAGTCTTCTTAAGTATTGGGAAGTTATCAAGGTCAATGTGGTAGATATATGTTTTCCAAAATTCTAATTTTTACTTCAAAGTTCAAATTTTATCATTGGAAGCAAACACTAATTGTTCTCCTTGGATTGACACACCTCCTTCATTTTTCAGAAAAACATCTATTAAATATTAGTTAGTCTAAATAACCAGTCTGTCAGACAGATATTCCTTCAAATAAAAAATTGTGTTTTATAGGGAAAAAGAAAAAGGCTAGTTTAGCTCAAAACTCATGTAACCACACAAGTGCTATTTCTCAAAACAACTACTCTTACTTTGGTATACAGCTTCCCTTTTCTTCACAAAGAATTTTTTTTAAGTATACTCAAAGGCACAATTTCATAAAATTAATACTTTTCACTGCTCCACCTAGAACATTCTCATGTGAAGCGCTTCTGTTTCCTGCTGGGAGTGTGTGGAAGTGGGATGCGTGCTAAGGCAGCAGCAGCTTCACCCACTGCGGCTTGTGCATCATCAGAACAAGTATCAACTGAGTGAAAGGAAAAATAGGACCTTAGTAGCATTAGAAAAACAGATCTGATTTTACAGACTCCTGAAAAGACTTCAGGGACCCTTAGAGGTCCTCAAACCACTTTTTAAGAAATCTATTCTTTAAAGTACAATGTTTGAATGTGCTGTTTATTTAATCAGTCCCCATATTGACAGCTTGCTGCTAATCTTTTGTTACCACACAATGTTGCAAAGAATAACTTCACATAGATGCTACTTTACAGACAGTAGTTTTAAAGAAAAATTAAGTTAAAAAAGGTA